TCTCCTATTCTTCATCCCAATGGGCAGCCAAAAGACAGCAACCAAAACCGGCGCACGAATATGCGTGGTTCATGGTTGTACAAACTGAACTGAACTGAACTGAACATATTACAGGTAAGTCGTTAATGTAGACCAGGAAAGCTACGGGCCTAGGATTGATTCCTGAATGACGCCGATGGAAACCTAGTACCAACGCGACATTGACTGAGAGCCTCGGAAGGTACTCCTCCTTAGGAATTCTTCGATCCAGCGAATCGGTGAGCTCCGGATACCAAGGATTCATTTTTTATTACACAAAGTGATTTACAGCAAATGGGGGGGGGGTAAACCCCGTAATCAATGATACACTGTAAGGGGGAGGTATGCGGGGGAACATTCAACTGAAGAATCAATTTGTCAATCCTGCTTTTGAAAACGGTAAGGTTATGAGAACCTAGAAACATGGAAATTGAAAGTGTTTCACAATTTTGCAATCCTCAGGAGAAAAGAAGATTCGAAGATAGAAGTCCGGCACCTGAGGACAGAAACCCGATAAGGATGACTGCCCACCTGAGAACGAGATGGATGAGAAAAGGTCAATGGAAGAGGAACTGCTGAAGCGAGTTCGGAAGAGCAGAAACCAAAATAATGACAATAGAAAAGAGATAACAAAGCAAGTGCCCGGCTGTGGGAAAGCGATTGCAGGTTGAAAGTTAGATGGTTCGTCGACCAGCCGGAGGGCCTTACGTTGAACACGATCGAGGGGAGAAAGAGCGGAATACGAAGCTCCACCCAGTATTCGAGCATCGGGTGGAATTGAGCTTTGTGTAAAAGGAGGTGCTTTGGTGTAAAAAAACGCTTTGCGCGGAATCGAAAACCAATTTTGCGCGCAGCGCCAGAGGCAAGTGTAGAAATAAAGGGGGACCAACAAAGAAAAGAATTTATGGATAAAGCCAGGAGGGAGAGGGAATTTGTGGAACGAGTGGCAGAGTTAAAAATCAATTGAAGAGAATAGGGGATATGTTTAAGAGAGACTGAGAGGAGAGGAGTGTGGGGTAAGAAAGAAAACCATGGGGAGTGGCATCATCGGCAAAGCAGTGTATGGGATTAGATGTTTGGGATAAAATATCATTGATAACTAAGAGATAAAGGGTAGGCGAAAGTACGGAACCTTGGGGAACACCGGCGCTCATGGGAAATGGCTGAGATAGGACCCCATCTACTCGGATGGAGATGGTTCGCTTGCTGAGGAAACAACGAAGCCATGATATCAGAGACGGGTGGAATCCAAACGTGGGTAATTTCGACAGCAGACCTTCATGCCAAATGCGGTCGAAGGCCTCTGAAATCTCAAGCGAGACCATGTGAGTTTCCCCGTAGTTATCGAGTGCGGTCGACCATTAATGTAGTGTGAGCACCAGTAGATCAACCGTGGATCGACGAGAGTGAAATCCACACATTCAACAAACCTTCCATTCACTCCGTATCCATTCATTTAACAAACTGCGTTCGAGAAACCTACGCAGCTGGTCGGAGATAAGGATTTCAAACACTTTCGAACTTACAGATGTGAGAGTCATGGGACGGTAGATTTTAGGGCCGGAATGGTCACCGACCTTTGGGATTGGAAAAAAATGCCATTTCCACGGAGTAGAGAAAGATTTAGGGTCGTATTATTATTACTATATTTCCCCCTTGTTTGTAGCCCGAGTGTGTGCCAAGCAAATCATGGTACAATAATCCTTATAAAAAAACGTTCCATGATTTGCAAGTGGGACGAATACTGCCAGGTTGCCCGGGCCAAGGCAGGTGGATTTTCCTGAGGAAACCACAATAGGAGTCTTTGGCTAGCCAAAGCCTAACCCGCAAGGCAGCGCAGCGGTGTGTGAAAACCGCAATCCATTGAGAGCCGGTGTCCACTTCATCGGATTATACGCCCTTCGGACGGGGTCAAATGTCCAAGGTGCCCAACACACCTTGATGCTCAATTGAGCCGGTGACCATTAACACAACCGAAAAGGTGTAAGTGTGGTTCGTACGCCTCCTCTTGGTTGGTTCCGAATCAGAGTTTTCGGCCAACTCCCCTAGGTGAACTACCAGTGTTCCACCAACCCCGTTATTGCCCCGGATGTCGGCTATTCGTCCTCTCACTTTGGTGCGAAAAAACCTCCGCCATGAGAAGGCAGTGTGAGTCTTCCTCAGCAGAGGCTATTTGAGACGCTTAGTCGTATGGGAGCATTTCGCGAGGTGCAAGGGCAAGGTGACCAGCCGCAACCCTAGACACTCACCCTCGATCATACTGAGGCTTTTGGAGGCGATCAAGTAAAGAACAGAACAGGCGACGTAGAACAGGGGTTAACTACGGGGAACATTTTTAGGGCAATAGGTGGAATACCGTCCGACCCCGGTGGTTTAAAACCACCCAAAGCACGAAGAATTTGACGGACCTTTTTGGTTGTTATGATAGATAGAAAAGAGTGATTGGATGTGTATGAGGAGGGTTGAACAGTAGAGACAGCAGGTAAGGTGGAGCTAGAGGCAAACAGGGAAGCGAAGACCTCTGCTTTTTCGTGGGGTTCACGAACAAGAGTACCAGAAGAAGTGCAAATTGGGGGAAAGTAGATGGGACAAAAATTACGCGAAACCGCTTTAGCGAGGAACCAGAATGTTCGGTTACCGGTGACGGAAGAAGCCAAACGCGCAGCTTTGTGACAAATGACGCGTTGTTTATCTCTCTGAATAGTGACCGAGCAGTTGTTCCTGGCTTGCACGAAGCGGTTGCGGGATACTGGATCGGGTGAGTGATGCCAACGACGGAATGCTGAGACTTTAAAACGTACAGCAGGGTTTCAAGAATGCTTACACCACTCAGGGGTTCGTGGTTTGCCGGGTTTGGAGAAGTGTGGAATATAAAGATACATACCTTGAAGAACAATCTCCACGAAGTTTGAAACAGACGTGGAATCATCAGATTTAAAAAAAACAATCCTTCCAGGGATAACAAGCCACAAAGTCAGGAAAACCGCTCCAGTTGGTTGAATCTTAACGCCAAAAGGTGCGTCTGGAGTTTGGTGATGAAATGGAGTGAGAGAAATGAGACAATGGTCCGATGAGCCTAATGGGGAAAGGGAAATGATGTTGGAGAAATAAGAGGGAATGGATGTGAGAATGAAGTCAAGGGTGTGGGCGCGGTCACCAATAAGATCAGGGATGCGTGTGTGGTCAACTAGTTGACTTAGGTTGTTGACCACAGAAAAACCCTCGGCTTCGCATCCTATGAACGTAGTGTCTGAAGAGTGCTTTAGCCATTCCTTGTTGTG